TAGACCCTGACACAATTTAAAGTATTTCCTATATATTTTGTGCTTTACTCTTGATTGATTGATTTGATAATACATTAGGCTGTTGTGAAATGTGATTCCAAACTAATACATGAACATCATCCAACAGGGTATACAAAGTTATGTGCTTCAATTTCGTTTTAATATACGTAGTACTAATATGAAATGTTTAGGACCATTTGGTTTTGTTTTTTTTGGTTCAAATGACTGAATTTCAAAACAGAACTGTAAGTGTTTGGTAGCATCAATTTCAGCTAAATATGTGAGTGAAAAGCTACATATTCTGTTCATTTAAGCATAATTCGACTGACTACCAAATCGGATTTTACTATCTATGTTCCAAAAGTTCTACTGTATACCCACCAGTCCAGGCACTAGATCACTCTTGACTGTCCCCACCCCTATGTTACTTCACTTGGCTTGTCTAGGCGTAGAACACCATATAGTGCAAGAGTCCGCTCCTACATAACTTTTTCCCATTCGTGGTAGCGCGAGTGGTGTGCTACTCTCATGCTCAAGAGGTGCAGTTTAGTTAATTGGGTGTTGAACTGAGTCTTGATTCCCATGTAATTTCAATGAACTCTTGTTTTTTTATTTAAAAATGTTTTGACATTAAGCTATACGGTTTGTATGCATCTTACTCGTTTTGCATGTTGGATAGATTATCTTTATTGTGTCATTGATGAAACCTGGTTTGTATTTGCAGCTATTTCCACTGTAGTCTCAGTAACTGAAATTCTGAAGAACAATGGTTTGGCTGTTGAGAAGAGTAAGAATTTCAGCATTTATTTTGAAGTCCTTAATTTTTTAAGAGGAATTGTTTCATATAAAAACTAATTAGAGGATAAACAAATTTGAATAAACATGCATTGGCTGTTTTAGTTTGGTGATATTTTGTGAAATGCTAATGTGAATAATTATTGTATTTCAGGGATCATGACATCAACAGTTGATGTTCGAGATGATTCAAGAGGACGTCCAATCACAAAAGCCAAAGTGAGTTTTGTAATGATATTATTATCTACTTGAAAGGTGTCATTGTTTTCAAACAAAGCATTCCTCATAAATCATCATTTATAATTTTTGCCCCTTAAGCTAGTAGCTTGAGGTTATAAAACATGCAAATTGTAGGGAAAAAATGGTCTAGTTATTATTAGTTCTCATTTTTGTATACGAAGTACATTACAATTGAGTGATTGACTGGGCACCTTTTACCGGTATAATAATATTTTGCATATATTATGAGAACTATTTATCATATTATTATTTTTTATAGATTGAGGTTGTGCTGGGGAAGAGTGACAAATTTGATGAGACAATTGCTGCAGCAGCAGCTGCTGAGAAGGACCAACAAGTTGGTGGTGAAGAACAAAGCTAAACTTATGTCTTTCCTGTCATCTTTTTCTTCTTTCGTCTCTTGTGTCGAGCTTTTGGCTGATTGCTTTTCATTTGAGAACTCCATTAATGTGTCTTTGCTAGAGTAAATGAAATCAACACCACCACTTTTGTTAGATACTTAGATGGTATGGATATTTTTCTTACTTTGACATCTTTTTTCCTCATTTATTTCATGTAAATGAAGGTTTTGATTAAAGATTAAAGAAAAAAAGTGAAAGTTCGTGTCATCTTTGAAATAATGAGAAATGTGGAACCTTTTCTGAAGATCTCTGTTGAGAATGCACCGAGTACGATATAAGTGACGATTATTTAGAAAAATAGAATTATGCAGGTCGTGCTGAATTTATAAAGGAGTGAAGGGTCAGTTTGGTCCTCGAAGTTGCAAAAAAGGGGTCAAATAAGTCCTTATACAGAAGATTCTGTCCGGACGTGCCATTTGAAGTGGCTCCCGGTAGAATTTTTTGATTAAATTTTTTGAGCATCTTATTCATCAAGTCTAGTTTACTCATACCAAATTTCAGCTAAAATTTCAACCGGGGAGACATTCAAATTTCAACGGCACAGTTATCTTCAAGAATTTATTTGAATGTCTTCCCGGTTGAATTTTTATCTGAAATTTGGTATGAGTAAACTACTTAATGAATAAGATGCTCAAAAAATTTAATCAAAAAATTCCACCGGGAGCCACCTCAAATGGCACGTCCGGACAGAATTTTCTATATAAGGACTTATTTGACCCTTTTTTGCAACATCGGGGACCAAACTGACCCTTATCCCATTTATAAAGTACTCTGTATGACTTGAGTATGAATGAAGAAGGATTAACCGATTAAGTATGTTTTCTTTTGGGGTTGAAATTTGTTGGTCTAGTTTGAACGGTAAATGTTTGTGTGTATTTTATGATTATGAAAGTTTTGTCTGGTTTGGGACCGAAAATAGTCCAAAAGAAAATTAAGATCATTCTTTGACACACCTAGTCATGGACTCGGGCCCGGGCCAAGCCTAGGCCCGGCCGGGCAAAAAAAAATCGGTGAAGCCCGGGACCGGCTCGGATGTTGGCCGGTCCGGGCTTGGGCCGGGTCCGGTTCTAATATTTTTTTTCTTGATTATTTCATCCCCAAGCCCCCCATCCCCCAAACCCATCGGAAACACCCAGCCCATTTAAACCCAGCCCAAACCAAAAAAAAAACATGCCCGAACCAGGCCTGGCCGGGCAGGTTCACATTTTAGCACACCCGGAACCGGCCCCGGTTTCATCCTTAAATCGGACCTAGACCCGGAACCTGTACCCGATTCCCGGGCCGGACCCAAACAGTGCCAGACCGGGCCAGTTCCCGGGTCGGGTGGCCCGCACCGAGTCCAACACTAGACACACCTAAAATGTAATTGATTTGCTATCAAAGAAAAGATAAAAATAGTTCATACTTATTCCTCATCAATGTAAACATTTTATGCTTTTTTTATAAAAATAGTTGCATAATTGCAACATCCTCATGTGCTAGCAGCTAGCCATAGCGTGATAGAGGTAGTAAAGACGTGTTTGGAGTTGCTTCTCCTTTAAAAAGAAGCAAAATCAGTGTCAATTTTGTAGAAGTTGATATTTCTCAAATTTTATAAAACTGTTTTTAGGAGTGTTTTGGAGCATGTTTTTAGGAGTATTTTGGAGCATCGTGAAGTACTTACTAATATTTGTTTCTACTCACATGAGCAGAACATTTGCACATTGTAAGAAGTAGATCCAAACACCCCTATATCTTTTGTGGGGTGTTAATCTTATTTGTATAAAAATATTACGTTCAGTCATGTTTATGGAATTTTTCCAAATTATTCAGTTAAACCGCTTCAATCCACAAGTAATTTGTTAGTCTGTACCCATTTTGGGCGATGGGACTTAACAAATTTGATAGTTTATGAAAAATATAAAAAAATGTATTACATTTACATCTAAAACTATTCCGTATGATTTTTTACGGAATTCGTTTAGCAAAATTATCATTGATGTCTTGATGGAGTGATGGGGCCTCGTTTGTATGGCTTAATCTTAGGGATGGCAACGGGGCGGGTTTGGGGCAGGGGTTCACACCCCCATCCCCCGCCCCATGTCTAAAAATTTCCCCCCATCCCCCGTCATTCCCAGACCCGCCCCATCCCCGCCCCACCCCGCTGTCCCCCACGGGTGCCCCCATATATATTTTAATTATCGTATTTGTGTACTTTTTTAAATCCATTTTATAGATAAATAAATATATATATAGCACTGAAAGAGTTAAACTAGATAATATTGTGTTCGATAAAAGATGATATCGCCGATTTATAATAATTCTTCAATTTGAATAAGTTCTATGAAAATAATAAAACTGAAAGTATAAGTAAACATATTACAATCATGTATGGTGTTCCAAATTTATCATCAATTATACTACAATTAATTATATATATTATACATATGTTTGTGTAGTGTGCGTGTTCTATTTACTTAGTTTCTCACTTTTAAAACTCATATATCATTTATGATAAGTATTTTTAGTCATTACTTATTATTCTAATATAATACTTGTGTAGTAGTAGTTCAATAATCATGACTAATACACATACATGTATGCATGTCTATAAGTATGTGTATGTGCTTGTTATATAGTACATATAATTTAATTAAATATGTGTATACATTATTAATGTGTGTATGTATGTATAGGAATGTTTGAGTATACATTTAATTATAACGGGGACGGGGTGGGTGTAGTAATCCCCATCCCCGCCCCATATTTTAGTGGGGTAGAAATATCTCACCCATCCCCACCCCCCGCCCCACCCCAAGCCCCGCCCCATCCTTCCCCCACGGGGCGGTTCCCCACGCGTCCCCGCCCCCATTGCCATCCTTACTTAATCTTCTAAGAGTAAGAAGCTAAGAGCCTCGTTGTTACGGAGAATGAAAGAAAAGACAAACCAGTGTGACAATGCGATAATGCCATATCATTGGATGCATGTTCTACTATACATCACTGATCACTCCTACTACTTCCCCTTCAAAGATTAATGGATATGCTTTGGGAAGGTGGGTGTAGTCCAATTGATGATCATCCACTCTCAAGTCTTTCCTTTGTGAGGAGCTACGTTTTGGGTTCGATTTCCACTCAGGGGGAGATGAAGGTCTTACTTCCAATGATTCTCCTTACCTTCACGAAGTATCTCAATGACAAGAAGGGAGAGGATGATAATGAAAACAACGGGTTCGTATGGTGGGTGAAGCAGCCTAGAAGGAACAAATAATGTTAAGTCATGTTGGATTCATCCTGTGAATCCAGTACCGAAGAGGTCTACTGTGATTAGGTTCAGATTTACTTGTCTGGAGGCTTTAGAGGGTAGCACATAGACTACAGAATTATGGGAGCGTAAGCCCCGACATCTGAATTATAAAAAATGGATATGCCTTCATTAATGGATTTTCAATAAACTTTGGTTAGTATACATATAACTTTTCTACCATACAATAATACAGTGCTGCAAAACGACGTATATCAACTTCATATCTTATAATTCACTTTCTTTTTCTTATTTTTTAAAATATCTACAAAGAACACGTATAAATCCAATATGTGAATTTAATATAAATTATACTTTTGAAATATACATGAACATGACATTTAAAAATAAGTATTACACCAATACCAAAATGAGCATACATAAATCACGAAATGAGCATTGAAGAAATTCAAAAAGCTCATTCCAAATGCCTACTATGCTTATAATTTCATTTGTGTATGCTCATATATGTAGAACTATGTATAATGTTGGTTTCTCCTAACCTGCGACCAACAAGTGACCAAACTCACTCACCAAACCTGTGTAAGCTGGAGTTTGATGTGATGCTTTCGTGCCGGAGGATTACGTGTGGCAAGTCATATTCTGTGTACAGCGGCGAGCAAAGGACCAGCAGCAAGAATGAATGGCGAATTGTGATGGAAGCTAGCGATTTGCGATCTCCAAACTAAAAGTCCGACTGTACCGTACGCACTTTACAGCCATCTGTAAGATAAAAATGCGCTTTCCGCTTGCACAGGTCATACCAATTCAATTATCTTTCCAAGGGTGTGGGCAGAACAAAATGTTGAACTTGAATTGAGACTATACAGATTGTTTTCATATAATATTTTACATAAAAAATATTACGTTTTTTTCAAACTTGAGGGGGGGGGGGGCAGGATGCCTCCCCAACTAAACCACTTGCTAAGAAGTCCTTGCAAGTTTCAACTGCATGTGTGGACTTTGCTATAAATGGTGTCAAGTTACAATTTTTAGTTTTGATTCTGGCTGGCTTTCTGCTTTGAGAATAAAAAGAATTACAATAGTTCATTTGTGTAAATAATCTGTGTGGAAGTTATACAAACGGGGATTATATAGATCATAGCTCAATAGCTTGAAGTTATAAAATAATAAAAGCTTTGACTCAGGAAGTGCATTGTAATATTAGTTGAACCATTCTTTATAAAGGCTGCTAAACCATTGAAAGCCTTTTTTCATTGGACTTCACTGGTTAGTAATAAAATCACATTTATCAAGAACAATTGAAGCAACTCCATTGACTTACTCAGGTGCAATCTGAACAATCTTTTTTCCAACATTGTCCCCATGAAAAGTTCCGATGAAAGCCATGGGAATGCTCTCAATGCCGTGGGAAATATCTTCAAGCACCTCAATCTTCCCATTCTCGAGATACTCTCTAGTCTTGGCATGGAAATCTATATATGATTTCATCATGATGAAATCAGCAGCAAGGAACCCCTGGATCTTGATCCTCTTATAAACCACGTCTAGCATGTTGGGTGCGCCACGCTTTGCGGGGTCCGTGTACTCGGAGATTACACCGCAGACCGCAACTCTCCCGTGGGAGTTCATGTTGGCAACTGCAGCTTCCAACATGCTCCCTCCCACATTGTCAAAATATATGTCTATTCCATCTGGGAAACACCTGTTCAAACAATTGTACAATGTTTCCATCTTTTGAGGTAAGGGTAACTTTGGCTCAAGTTGTTGAAAAATTGGCTGGAATGACGGAATTGGTAGAATTACAATTTTACTTTAAATAAATTGAAGAGAGCTATACCTACATAGGCTGAAGACAGGGGTAGAAGTGTCATTTTCATTTATTTGTGCTTCAGTAAAAGTTAAAAGAACCCAGCTTATATATGCTACTGTTTGTGTTGTGCTTCGGCATCTTTAAATTTAAATAAGTTGGTGTTTTGGTAAATGATAATGCTCATAAGTAGATTTTTTATCGGACATTTACACTGTTTATGGGAGTATGCTTCAAAATTCGTTATCTTACTTGAAAAGAAAGTCCTAATTATTCATAAAAAATTCTTAGAGCAGAAGGGTCACAAACATGTCAGATTAAGTTGAACCCAAAAATAAATTTATAAAATCATGTAACATAACTGAATAGTTATACATTGACCATCACTCTTATTATTATTAAGGTGGAGGGAGTATTAAACTTCTTCCATAAAAATGAATATCAAATGGTGGGAATGATAGAGCAAATTGAAAACTGGAGAGTCTGAGACAGAAATAGATCATTGGACCTTTTTAGAGCTGAATTGAGATCAGGTTCTTGTTTGTAGTTAAATGCATCATCAAAACCAAGCCTCTCTCTCAGTATCTTCACCTGGAATACATCTAACTCACAATACTATTATTGAATGTTTTCCACCTTAACTAAAAAAATTGGAAGGCAGCTAAAGATGAAGTAAATTAGAGTGCTCCATAGGGAGCATGTTAGCGCGCTCCATATGGAGCATGTCAGCGTGCTGCATAAGGAGCATGTTAGCGTGTGATAGGAACAGAATCGAGAGAGAGAATTTGATGTGTATTAAGAACGTAAATGAAGAAAGTGAAAGGAAACCATACAAATTGAGACACTTCGAGTAGTCTCAGCACTCCCCCAGATTAATTTCTGCCTGCCTTCTTATTTTACTCCCCCTCCTATTTATTATAACTCCCTTATGGGCTGGCCCAAAGCTAACTAGTGTCTGGCCCAGAACCCTTATTAATACAATATCAAATTACTTAGTACGTAGTATAATTTTATTATTAGGGAAAACTGTCAAATAGGTCCTCGAACTTTCATAAAAAGATCAATTAAATCCTTCTATAAGAGGTTATGTCCGGCCGTCGCGATTTGGGGTAGTTCCCGGTGGAATTTTTTGATGAATTTTTTTTAGCATCTTATTCACCAAGTCTAGTTTACTCATACCAAATTTCAGCTAAAATTTCAACCGGGAACACATTCAAATTAATTCTTGAAGATAATTGCGCATTTTTGCGTTCTCGAATTAATTTGAATGCGCTCCCGATTAAATTTTTAGCTGAAATTTGGTATGAGTGAACTAGACTTGATGAATAAGATGCTCAAAAAATTTCAAAAAAAATTCAACCGGGAACCGCCCCAAATCGCGACGACCGGATAAAGTCTTCTATAGAATGACTTAATTGACTTTTTTATGAAAGTTCGAGGACCTGTTTGACAGTTTTCCCTTATTATTATTATTATTAGAATTGGCTGTCCATGTCCCTATCAGTGTGTTCCATAAGCAACATGTTAGCGTGCTCCATAAGAAGCATGCTGCCTAGGTGGCTTAATAGAACGCACCCATTTCACTTTTGTTGAGTTAGTGTCTGTGAGGAGGTACATCCTGCTCAAGCATCTCAACAGCGCATTTTTTATAGAATAAGCTAATTATCTCAACAGTGCAATTTTGGACGCGATTTTCACTGTGGGTCATCCGGAAAGACTGCGTACATCCGACCCCCCCTTACCCCACCATAGGTGGGAGCCTTTGCGTCACTGGGATAAATGAAAATGATGATGAAGCTAAGAAGTTCGTTAAATTTAAGGGCGACGGATGACCTTTTGTTGGGAGCCAGCAGAGCCAACGACATAACATCCAAATAATTTAGCGTACTGTCCAACTAAATTCCCAACTGATCCTGAGGCAGCAGAGACAAAAACCTTCTCCCCTTTCTGGGGTTTGCAAACATCAAAAAAACCCGCATAGGCTGTCAGTCCACTAAACCCTGCAGAAATTTGTATGACCTTTTCACGTATTCAACATTGATGCTTTTTTACTCAAACTGTCATTTTTGTTTCTTTTTTGTCGGGGTTTGAAATGCTTGTAAGTTTTTTTTAAAGAAACAAGTGTTCAAAAGCATTTTTTACCTAAAGAGGAATCATACTTCATGAAATGGAATCATTTTTTATGTAACTTGCCAACCAATTCTAAAGCTAGAAACAAGTGCAATAGGGCAAAATATAATGAAGCCAGAAAGTAAATTTTAAAAATATTAATACCATTCCAAGATTTGTAAGAGTTAAACCTTGCCAAAGTTTAAAAAAAGTTGCACCGTGGTGAATACGACTCTTTAAAACGGAGGGTGTAGTACCCTACGGCTACATTGCAGAAATTAAATTGATTCAGAGTGCAAAATAATGATTTTCCCTTGCTTTGAACTAGTTAAAAAAAAGATACCACATTCATCATATAAAAAATTAATCACCAAGATACATTTAAAAATAAAAATACTCCGTAGTAAGGTTTAACAATTAGAATCCATCAATGATTGTAGCGATTTATGACGTTATTTGTTGGTTTCACTAAATCTACCTGTACACTTCTGTTTCATTTTAAATTACATCTAATATAATGAAAATAAATTATTTGCAAAAAAAAATAATGAAAATAAATTCTTTCATTCCAAAATAACTTCTGCAAGGGTCCCTCCGCCTCGGTTCAATCTTTTTTAGTACTCCCTCCGTCCCGAAAAGGTTGGCCAAATTTCCTTTTATGGATGTCCCAAAAAGATTTGACATTTTCATTTAAAGTAAAGAATATGTGGTTAAAGTTAATTTTCTCTCCTCTGCACAAATTTCAATCACACGACTTTTACTTTATTAATCCACGTGAAAGCAAACTTTGGTCAACCTTTTCGGGATGGAGGGAGTATGATTTAACCTATGTGCATTATAACTAAGAGGACAAACAAGATGATGCAAGTGGTACCTAAAATTCCAACATGGTAGGATAATGGAAAGCTAACCGGATCCAACTTATTCAACAGAGAGCCATCTTTTACATAACTGTATTCTCCCCAACTAAGAAGCCCTGCAACCAGGTCATCCTTCTTGATGTCATCCCTGGTAGACACCATAACTTTTCCCACTCCATATGCATCAATGCTCTGTAAATTGATGGACAAACTGTGGTATATATTAGCTGGTTAATTAAGAAGGCATTACATAAGCCATTTGAGAAAAAGTTTTGCAACTTGGAAAAACATTATTGTGTTCTGAAAACTTGATTTACGTGCTCCTAGAGCATGCTTATAAGTTTGAACTTCGAAAATAAAAGTTGTTAAGTTGGGAAGACTTCAAATCACTGTCTTTTTTAGCGCTTAGATAGCTAATTGGTAAAGTGTAAAAAATATTTTATACGGGTGGTGTTAAAAGCACTGGTTTTTACATAAAAATATTTTTACTTGGATTGAAATTTTATGGTCAAAGTTTGGTGTGGTTTGATCTGAAATAAGTTCAAGTACAAGGTTAAAATCCGGAACCTGAGAACCCACTACCCACTTGTCTAATATTAAGACCTGGGAGGAGTAGCCAGTCTATTTTCAGTTTTAACAACCACTTCAACATGCCTCACAGCTCGGGCTGAACAAGGTGGACAAATATGCAAAACCGGCCCTAAACAATGTACCCAAACTATGAATGTCATATTAAGATTTGGATTCCATGTCATATGGCTAATCTGATATTAGTGGTCCTAACTTATAGTCCAAAATCTTATACTACCTTCATTCTTAAACGAGTGCAACATATTAAATTTCACATTATTCAGTATTCACATGTTCTACTTTGCTTACGTTAATCTACTAATAAATTATTGTGATAATTTGAGTTTGCACCTCATTTTATTGTCTCAATTGAACTTTGCATCCCATTTAATTTTGTTTTTGTTTTTGTACCCAATCCCGCATGAAAACATAAAAATGTGCCTCCATTAGCAATTATGTTGGCCTTTTTACATCAATCGGAGGTGGGGGTGCAAGGAGGTAGTACAGGCGGTGAGAAAGACATCCATATTTGTTTTTATTTTTTATGGATTTTTCCTATTTTTATTAATTTTTAAATTGTTATTTTATAAATATTTTATTAAGTTTTTCTTATTTTTCTACGATTTTTATTATTTTTTACGATTTTATTATGAACTAAAACATTTAATTATGACTCTTAAACGCCTTTTACTCTTATTTAAAGGATATTTAAAAGAGGGGTAAGAATGGAATGGAAACATAAGAAGTACAGAGTAGTATATTTTATTTTTATCTAGTTTTACTCCTATTTAGGGTAATTTCTATTTCAACAACAAAAAAGGACACAATAAGTCTTACTTTTTCACAACATTTGAATCACATGAAATACTTATGTGCTATGTTGCACGGATACGGATACGCCGATACGTCGATATGCGAATACGGGTACGGCGATACGGCAATTTCAAAAATTATAGGATACGGGTATGGGGGTATATTTATATATAATAAAAATATAAGGTATAATTTGCAAATATATATAATTAAGTAGTTTCATAAATAAAATAATAATAATAATAGTACAAGAAATTAAGTATTGTAATAAAATTTCAAAGATTAGGCTAAAAAAACTAAAGTACTGATATTTCGATTTAAATTCAAATACTCCGTAATATTTTTGTTCTCTATTTGCATTTATGACAAATTATAGTATTCCATTATTTTTCATACTCCCGAAATCATCTTTATCAATATTCCACATCTTGTGATCGCTTGGATAGCTACTTGATTTTTGTCGAGTTTTGTATGAAATGAGGGTTATAGGGTTAGACACGCGTATCGGTTCACAGATACGAGTATTCGAAGTATCGGTATTTTTAAAAATAAGTTGATACTTTTATACTACCTCCGTCCCTTTTATATTGGGATGGAAGATGATGACACGAGTTTTAAGAAAAGTGGGTTTATGTGGTTGATATTAAATTATAAAGTAAGAATAAAGTAAGAATAATTTTGAGTCACACAAACTTTACCAAATAAAGTACGAGACAATTAACTAGGGACATCCCCGTAAAATAGGACATTTAAAAGGGGACGGAGGGAGTATTATATTACGTATCAGTTAGTATCGGTATTAGATGCATATAGAGTTCACAGATAATTCACAGATAAGGTATCCAGGTGAAGTATCGGGGCACTTGATTATTCATAGTGAATATGGGCAAGGAAGAATGATAACTTACCTCACCAGGAACAATAGAAGCTGAGTAATCAATGGCCCGCTGCGAGGAGCTTTGTGACTTCATCCGGTTTAGTTGGTACGGATCGATCGATACGTAAAGGTTCTTAACCACAACACCTTTCGAACCGGGTTCAATTGACAGAGAAACATTCTCAACCTTCAATTCGAAGTCTGATTCCTTTGGCGCACCATCTATGCTATTCTTAATAGCCACGTACTGGTTAGTTACTACCGTCTTCTCTGGACCGGCCTTTGCTTCCATTCTCTTTTGAGCTCCTATAGCCTTTGTATTTGAACTGGAACATCTGTGGAACGGTCTTCCGTACGATTCCGAGTGGGTGCGGTTCTGACTGTTACTTTTTTACCTCAAACCAAATATAGAATTCTAGTCAACCATTCTTGGTGTACACATCTTTGTACCCATCAGTACACGCATGTGTCTGTGAGAGTTTTTTTTTGTCTGTGAAGCGCGGTCCACAGACATAAGTTCGCTTGTTTTGTCTGTGGAAATTTCACAGACAAAACAAACCAGCTTTTGTCTGTGGACCGCACTTCACAGACAAAAAAAAACTCTCACAGACACATGCGTGTACTGATGGGTACGAAAACGTGCACAAAAAGGAATTTTTGGTAGCCAAAAGTTCGGTTCGGTTCGGTTTTACACTCTAAAACTTGGAACCACGGTTTGATTGGTTCGGTTTGTTTCGGTTCGGTTTCGATTTTTTCGGTTTTTATCAAAAAATTCTCACTTGATTTAAAATAGATATAATATTTAGAGGGATCAAACATACTCCCTCCGTCTCATTTTACATGTCTTACTTTCCTTTTTGGGTTGTACCAAAATAAGTGTCACATTTCCCTTTTTAGAAAGAAATATGTGATTCACAACATTTCACTTTACTATACTCAAATCTCAACCACAACTTTTACCTTTTCAACCACTTTATTAAAAATTGTGCTAAAACCAAAGGAGACACATAAAATGGGACGGAGGTAGTATTACATAAAGAATGCAAGCACAATGCAACAACAAATAAAATAAAAATGAGAAGAGATAAATATGTCTTGAATTATATGAATATGCGAGAAAAATAAAACTGTATATATTATTGATTTAATTTGTTTGTGAATAGTTCGAAAAAAGTTCATGAATATATACGTTCTATGTGATATAGTTGAGATGAATATTTATTGATATCTAAAAATAAAAGTTAATTACTACTCCGTACTAATAACTAGTAAACGCATATTATCATCATTCAATATAGGTTATATATATAGCTACATTGTTAAAGACAATCAACGTGTAAATGAATTTATAAACTAAATTAAATTAAACATAAAACAAACATCATTTCTCTAACACAAGAAAACCAAAGACTATTGATGATATTAAGATTAATTAGAATTAATGCTTAACAATTAACATATAAATTTCATATTTTAAATAGTTCGGTTTGTTCGGTTCGGTTCGGTTTTGAAGGATAAAAACCAAAACCGAACCAAACAACTTCGGTTCGGTTCGGTTTTTTACATTCAGTTTCGGCTTCTTAGCGGTTCGGTTTTATTTGGCCAAGGTTCGGTTTAATTTGATTCAATTTTCGGTTTTCGGTTTTCGGTTTTTCGGACCCAGTCCTATCCGGACAGGCGGTTCTATTGAGATCCATAATATGACTTGCCTAATATATTTTCCCTCTAGGAACATGTATATGTCTTATCACATAGTAATGCATGCACATGTAATGCTCACACAATAGCACATGTAAATGTTAGTACTTTCTTTGTATACGTAGGAGTGCATGCACATGCACTTGTATTGAAAAAATTCTCTCTCCCTTAGCAAGGATAGGCCTCCCATGTAATATAAATATATCTATCCGTATGACCAGGAAGATAAGAAGAAAAATACGAGGCTTCTATTTGTGAAGTATTCTCTCCTAAATAATTCCAGTATATTTTATTTTAGCCAATTATATATTTATCCATTTATATTTTTATCATGGTATCAGAGACGAAATCCTGAAAATAGTATATATATATATTAAAAAAAAAAAAAAATCTCTCCATATTATTTTTGTAAGAGCCCTTTACCCTATCTTCTTCTTTATTCCCTTTCTAAATTATGGCGGGTGATGGTGAAACCAAGGCCAAAGACATAGTCATTGATTCCATGTCACCTTATTTTATCCAATCCGGAGATAAGCCCGGAGATATCCATGTTACTTTAACTCTTCGAGATGGAAACTATGGAGATTGGCTCGATGAAATGAGCAACGCCCTATATGCCAAAAATAAATTTGGCTTTGTAAATGGTGATATACCGATGCCTCAGTCCGACTCACCATACCTTCCATATTGGCAACGAGCAAATGCCATGGTTAAAGGTTGGCTCAATAGTAGCATGGAGATGGAGCTAAGGCAAAGTGTGAAGTTCAAAACGGCCCAAGAGATCTGGACTGATTTAAAAGAAAGATTTGTGAAGGAGAGTGCTCCACGCGCTTATGAGCTTCGGTGCTCCCTTAGCAACATTCGACAAGATGGCCAGTCTATTTCGGCCTATTTTAGCAGGTTACGTCGTGTGTGGGATGAAATGGTCTCTATAAACACGGCACCTAATTGCACATGTGGTAAGTGTTCGTGCAATATTTCTAAACAGATAATTGATTCCCGTGATAGAGACCGTCTTTATGATTTCTTGATGGGTTTGGACGATGCTTATGCACAATTGAAGAGCCAGATTCTGGCAACAAGGCCGGTTCCTACTCTCACCGCCGCATATCATCTTGTTTCAGAGAGTGAACAACACAGGTCTATCACATCCGCACGCAAACCAGGTGGTGATGGTACGGCTTTTTACACACAAACTAAAAGAGAGCCAATTCCAGGACGACGTTCAACTGCAAAGGAAAGTCGGTCTTGCTCCTATTGTGGAAGGACTAACCATACTTACGATGCATGCTTTGCACGTATTGGTTATCCACCCAATTGGAATATTAAAGGAAAAGATAGTAGGCTGCCAGGGACTTTGACTCAAGCTAGAATTGGTGGAGACCCACGTGTCTCACGTGAAGGAGGAATCCGTGAGGTGCTTACTTCCAACCGCAATAATCCTTCACCTCAAATAGCACATGTGGACAGTAAACAAGGCAACCAATTGGGAATTTCTGATGAACAACTCCAAAAATTGGCCAGACTTGTAAGGCATGAGCTACAGGACGAAACAAGCACACCCTCATCTTCTAATATCAAAATAAATATGGCAGGTACACTATCAAAAGGCCGCACCTGGATAATAGACTCCGGAGCAAGTGAACACATTATTTATAATAATGACGGTCTCATTGACATCCGGACTCATATTCATATACCGTCTGTCAAGATTCCTAACGGTGATTCGGTTCCGGTTCAAGCTATTGGCAGCTTGGATTTATTTAACGGACTCCGCTTACAACAAGTTTTGTATATTCCGGAGTTCCGGTGTAACTTACTTTCAGTTAGCCGCCTTACAAAAGATACCAACTGTACACTCACATTTTTTAATGATTTGTGCACTTTGCAGGACTTACCCTCGAGGAAGCTGATTGGGGTGGGCCGACTCCGTGATGGTTTATACTACCTTGAAATTCCAATAAATGAGAAGGTGGCAATGTCAGTTTCTCTCCATCATGATTTATGGCATCAACGTTTAGGACATGCTTCTGACGGAAAATTAAATTTCATCAGTTCTCTCCAAGGTTTCAGACGGAGCAATAATTTCTGTGACTCATGCGTACGAGCCAAACAGACTCGTTTGCCTTTTCCTGTCAGTACCATTAAGACAACTCGTTGCTTTGAATTAATACATTGTGATATTTGGGGCGGCTATAAATGTGATTCCATTTCCGGTGCACGTTATTTCATGACTATAGTAGATGATTTTACAAGGGGTGTTTGGGTTTACTTAATGAAAAATAAATCAGAAGTTCCCCAACTTTTGATTCAATTTTTTAATTTAGTAAAAACCCAATTTGAACAACGAGTTAAACGAGTCCGGGCAGATAACGGTGTTGAGTTTCAAACCAGATTTTTATCTGATTACTATAACCAAAATGGAATTTTGTTGGAAACATCATGCACCAACACACCACAACAAAATGGTGTTGTTGAACGCAAACACAGACACATATTAGAAGTTGCGAGGGCACTTCGCTTCCAAGCTGGATTACCAATTAATTTTTGGGGAGAATGTATTTTGACAGCCGTCTATATCATTAATAGACTTCCATCTCCCATTATAAAAAATAAGACTCCTTATGAAATGTTATTTGGGAAAATACCAAATTATGATCATTTGCGGGGTTTTGGTTGCCTGGTATATGCTCATAACAATAATTAAAAGGATAAGTTTGGTGAGAGGGGGAGTCCTTGCATATTTATCGGATATCCTAATGGGCAAAAGGCGTATCGGGTCTTTGATCTTCACAAACAAATCATCTACAGCTCTAGAGACGTAACCTTTTTTGAAGAAAAATTCCCGTTCAAAATTTCAATCTGTCCGGAAGTTGACTTTGAAGTACTAGTTGATAAGATTTATCAACAAATCACAAATGACGCTCCAGGAAATTTTTTGGCTGATCCATCACATGGCTCCTCTTGTCCTTATTCAGCCAGTAAATACATCCCACCTTCACAAGTGAACAACCGGCGTACAGAAGGAGACCCCAACTTCAATGACCAGGCCCCACCTCACATCACCAAGTTGCATGGAAACTCCTCCCATGGGCAGCAGCCTAGCGTAGATGAGCTGCAGATCACCATTCATCAGCCACCCATGAAGGACCCACCGTCGGCAAGGGCTGACCAGTCTGCACAGCCGGCCCCTAGCACGGACAACCCAATTTTTGGAGTCTCTCAGCCAACTGGTACTGACGATACCATGCAGGTCCCGCAAGAAACTACACTTCTGGATAATAAGCAGTCGGCTCCCACCGTCATGCAGCAGCTGTCGAATTTAATTGAGTCTCAATCAGCACCCAATGAGCCCCACCGACGTGCTAGAGTTCGGAAACTCCCTAAGCACCTAGCTGATTATGAAACTGACTTGCCACCCTCTCTTTCTCCATCACGGACCACTGCCAATCATGCTGCCACGAAGGTATACCCAATTTCACAATTCATTAATTATGAAAAATTTTCTAACACTCACCGAGCCTATCTTGCTGCCATCACATCTCGTGATGAGCCTAAAAATTTCTCACAAGCAGTACGAGATCCTTTATGGAGAGAAGCAATGCAAAAAGAAACTGATGCACTGGAACAAAATAACACATGGGCACTTGTCTCATTACCGCCAGGAAAGAAGCCGATTGATTCAAAATGGGTTTATAAAATTAAATATAAACCTAATGGTGATGTGGAGCGATACAAGGCTAGATTAGTAGCCAAGGGATTTACGCAAGTTGAAGGTGTTGACTTTCACGAGACTTTTGCCCCTGTGGCCAAACTTGTTACAGTTCGGTGTGTGTTAGCAGTTGCCGCCAAGAAAAATTGGATTGTACACCAATTGGATGTAAACAATGCATTTCTCCACGGAGACCTTTCTGAAGATGTCTACATGCGTCTACCGGCGGGATTTACCAAGGAAGGGGACACACGTGTTTGCAAACTACAAAAATCCTTGTACGGGCTACGACAGGCATCCCGTAATTGGTACCAAAAATTCACTCAAGCCCTTATTGGGGTCGGTTTTCATCAATCTAAGGCAGATCATTCACTCTTTATTTTTCAGGAAGGATCCATTACTACCTTTGCTCTCATCTATGTGGATGATGTTATTTTGGCCGGAAACCATCTTCCTCATATTAACCGAACCAAAAATTATTTGGATGCAAAATTTAGCATCAAAGATTTGGGGAAGCTCAAATACTTCCTTGGCATTGAAGTTGCCCGTTCTCCCGAAGGATTTGTTTTAAGCCAACGCAAATATACACTGGACATTTTAGAAGAAAGTGGGTATCTTGCTAGTCGCCCTAGTTCATTCCCAATGGAACAAAATTTAAAACTAAGGCCTGACGATGGTACCCCACTTGTCAATGCCTCATCCTATCGACGACTGATTGGGCGACTCTTGTATCTCACTGTGACCCGCCCAGACATCGTATACTCTGTCAGTCAGCTTAGTCAGTTTCTTAGTGCCCCACGCCAAACCCATTTTGACGCAGCTATTCGGATTCTTCGCTACTTAAAGAACACTCCTGGTCAGGGTATTTTCTTGTCATCCAATGATGACATCATTCTCACAGGCTATTGTGATGCTGACTGGGCTGGTTGCTCATTTACTCGCCGATCTAGTACTGGCTACCTCATCACTCTTGGTTCCTCTCCCATCTCATGGCGAACAAAGAAACAGTCTGTCGTCTCCCGCTCCTCCGCCGAGGCAGAATACCGAGCAATGGCTGTTACTGTCAGCGAGATTTTATGGTTGCGATGGCTACTACGAGATCTTACCATTTACCAAACAGGTCCCACGTTACTTTACTGTGATAACCAAGCAGCCCGACACATTGCCCTTAATCCCGTTTTCCATGAACGCACCAAACATATTGAAATGGATTGTTATTTCGTCCGCGAACGGGTCGCTAGTAATGAAATCCTACCCCAACACATCTCAACCGTTCATCAAGTTGCCGATATATTCACCAAAGCACTCGGTGCTGAACGTTTTCAGTTTCTTCGTAGCAAGTTGGGTGTTCGTAACCTACACACTCCATCTTGAGGGGGAGTATTGAGATCCATAATATGACTTGCCTAATATATTTTCCCTCTAGGAACATGTATATGTCTTATCACATAGTAATGCATGCACATGTAATGCTCACACAATAGCACATGTAAATGTTAGTACTTTCTTTGTATACGTAGGAGTGCATGCACATGCACTTGTATTGAAATAATTCTCTCTCCCTTAGCAAGGATAGGCCTCCCATGTAATATAAATATATCTATCCGTATGACCAGGAAGATAAGAAGAAAAATACGAGGCTTCTATTTGTGAAGTATTCTCTCCTAAATAATTCCAGTATATTTTATTTTAGCCAATTATATATTTATCCATTTATATTTTTATCAGGTTCAGTTCTTATATCGTGTGAAAAGTCAGATCATGGTAACAAGATGATGTAACTCGCGAGTAAAAAATACGGAGTACAAGGCACATTAATGAAAAATGTAAGTGTAGATCAGTTGAAATGTTACTTGTCCAATACTGAGTATAAGAAATAAAATATTGATTTCAACGTAAACAATCAAACAAAAGAGTCTGATTGCTCGATTATTAACGTAAATAATGAATACATTTTGTTTCTAATATTAAAGAAATAAAAAATAATTAAAAAAACTTTTTTGCCAAAAGATTCATTTTTTTGCCAAGAAAAAACGTTTTTTGCAAAAAAAACATTTTTTTATTTCAATAACGGGGTTTGTTTTTTGCGTAACTCGTGTTATAGAAAATTTAACTCATATTGATGGAAACTCTAATTTAGGTGTATGCAAAATGTAACTTGTTGAGACAAGTTCAAATATAACTCGCGCATAAGAAGATGTAACTCAAGCATAAGATCCCTAAGATGTAACTCATCCATTATAAGAAGATGAAACTTGCATATAAGTAACTCGCATATAAAAAGATGTGACTCGCGCATATGAATATGTAGCTTTTATGTAGTATCAAATGCAGCTCTATGAAACAAAATAAAAAACTCGATGTCTTCAAATCTCTAAAAAAAAACGTAGTATAAAAGAGGTGATATAAAAGTATATTGCAAAAAAAAAGGTGTCTGAATATAAAAAATATTACCAAAACAAAAATAGTGTATGATTTTTTTTTTTGATGAAATAGTGTATGAGTATGAAATGTAATATAATTATTTTATTTAAATTAATAATAGTTTTGTTATGAATTGACAATGAATTAAAGAAAATAGATTGAGTTATAATTTAAGTGGGTGTTTGGATCTGATTCTTAAAACAGTTTCTGCCTCCTGAAGGAGCAGAAGCAGAAGTTGAAGTGTTTGGGTGAAAATGCAAAAATGATTCTGGTGCTCTAATTTACTCCTAGAATCAGTTTTTTAGAAGCTGGGGGAGACCAGCTTCTGAAAACTGCTTCTGCTTTAAAAAAGAAGCAGAATCAGTTCCAAACACCCCCTAAGTTGAAGATAAAGAAAAGTGAAGTTACAATTTATTTTTTTTATTCTGATGGAGGAGAAAAGAAAATTAAAGAAGAAGAAACATAAAAGATGTCCCTTGCGCATAAAAAAATGTAACTTGCGCATAAAAAGATATAACTCACGCATAGGGCTGGACTCGGTTCGGGCCGGGCCCAGGACGGGCCAAGGCCCAGTCGGGCCTCCGGTCCTATAAAGGGGGGCCCGGAACCGGCCCGTCCTTCACCCGGTTCCGGTTCAGGCCGGGTCACCCGCCGGGCCGGGCCACCCGCCGGGTCGGGTCGGGCCTAGTTTACCTTTTTTTTTATATACTCCTTTAGATGAAATACATTTTTCAAAAAAATACTAATACAATAAATTCTAAGTTGTAAGTTGTAAGTTTGTAACCAATTAATTAATTAATTAATTTGAGAAGTGCTGCATATAAAAAAAGAATGTATATTTATTTGAAATATGAAATACAACTTTACAAATTACAATAGAGAATTGAAGGAAAAATTAAAACATGAAATACATTTCATAATAAACTATAAAATACTAATCAATCGGAATCTCCGGCATAGGAGCCACCCTCGGTTGTTGATTCATCCATAAAGTCTTGGGAGGGGGTGATGCTAACTTCTTGACATCTACGTATGGCCTTCAACCAATCGTGGTAGCATATAAGCGTCTCAAGAGGCTCAGCGCTCAAACTCGTTCTAGATGTCGTTAGAACGTTGTCGGCCGA